CTGTTTCAGATGGCTAAGCAAGCTCCCTCAGCACAAAACTCTGTTTGTCTAAAGACGCACAAGAACAAGGACCAAATCAAAAGAAAAGCTTTGCTCTATTAAAGAATACTCTTTTTTACTAGTTTCGACTCCTAAATGAATTTCTTAGAGACGAAATCTGAGTAGCTCAGTTTGACTGATTGTTTCTTTTTCTTGTCAATATTAACCAAGTGCTCTAATGAAATATAATCAAAAACATGAAGTTTTAGCAATTTCTTCATATGAAAACTGACATTTTCAACACACTTTTAGAATAACCTCAAAAGGAATATCTTCAGTCGATAGGGTGTCTATGAAAATAACAAATTTGCTGAAAGTTACAGTGAATTATTTAGCATGAGAAAAATCATCGCAATCATCGAAGTCATTGAAATCGTCAAAATCAGAAATTACTGATTTGACCTTGTACAAAATCCTATCTGAGAGAAAATAAAGTTTCTGATCAATATATTTATCACGAGAATTCTCAACACAGCATCTTTGCATATGATTCCTCATGAAAACATGAGATGTCAGATAGCAACAACGAATGCAGACTTGATGAAAATTATTAGGAGAGTGATTCATCGCGAAGTCGAAAACAAACTAACTTCTCTCATATTTCAAAATAATTATTTGCATTCGAATACATCCAAAATGCTTTTCTAGATCAACTTACAACTAAGAGTCTTTATCAGTCATGACAAAAACAACCAAAATATAAAAGGCATTGAGTTGCCCATTACGACTCGATCACTCAAACCAACAGCAGCACATCAATCACGAAATCAACTAATTTATGTTAACGAAAAACACAATCGGTTTCTTGTTCGTCGTAATGTTAGCCTTACTTTGGGTCGAAAATGTGGCGTCGTCGGCTGGTTCATTCAGTGGCGACTGTATCGGATGCAAATGTAGTTGTTACGGCGACACGGTTCGCAATGGAACAGTTGTCAAAGAATACTATGGATCATGGACTTGCATCGGAGGCTCATGCCAAGCAGGATGCACTGCACCCTGTGAACGGTTAGGAAAGTGTCGACAACCTTCTGATGTTGCTATAGAATGCAAGGCATCAAAGTCGTCATGATAAACATAAGTTCAACTGATTCATGACCTTTTGTAATAATGTGAATGTTTTCATTTTTGATTCAACTAATTTTTTCTTGTATCAAATTCATCGACATTTGACAACGTTTTGTAGATGAATATATGAAGATACTCACTGTTTTCTTTCTTTTTATCTCTTTTATTGTGGCGTTTCTAATGTGGACATATGTCAAAGTGACTTCCGAAATCAGTTTCTCTTGGTCGCCACACATAAACAATAGCGTTCGATCAGACGCACTCGGTGTGTGCACTGTAATTCTTGGAGCAAGGCGGATTGGTAGTAATTTGAATATGAAAGAACGAGCTTTCTATCTGCTCGGCTTTCATCACTTATACATCAACATTTTTGAAAATTCAGAAAACTATGGTTTAGTCGAAGGTGGCCATATAGGCGATAATGTGGCAAATGGTGGAGAATCGTGGGCGCTTGTAAAAGACCAGAACTGGGAACGTAGAGGCTCGCAATGGATCGTGCCAACTAAGCACTGTAAACGTCTCATACTATGTTTACGGGAACAAACCAATGTTTACAATCTTGCTCAAGTTCCTTATCACTTCCTTTTGGGTCCGAACAGTAACTCTTTCGTTTGGTGGGTGCTTCACGTTTGTGGAATCAATGTTGAACCCATTTGCCCATTCTATCCATTCACCGGTATCGACTATTTTAAGAGAATACCATGGCCTCGACTTAGTTCTCACTTGTGAAGATTTTTGACTTCATCGAACGTACATTTCACCTTTGTTTTTTTCTCTAGTTCGATATAATAAAGTAATATTGTTCCGTGAAATTCCAATCAAAAATGATCGCGATCCTGTAGATCGATATAAAAAAAAACGATCTTTTGCCTTTATAAAAAAAAGAAAATAGCCCGACGCTTAAGCGGCACCGTATTTACCGATGTATTACTTACGAAAAAGGAAAGGGTTACTCTTCTCGATAGAAGGTTTCGATCTTTCAAGATCGTCTCCAACTACTTTTTTCTATGTAATGAATAAATTTGAGTTTGTTCAACAATGTTTTCCTCAATATGCAGACAAATCCTGAACACTGTCAGATGGTAATCTGTCTTTAGGAATGAATGTCATCTAAAAGACAAAAAAGAAACAATTCAACCATTTTGTGATGTTGCTTGTAATTTCGGTTTTTATAAGCAACGTACTTTCGAAGAATTACTTCTTTTATTCGTTTCTTTTCGTTTGTGTAAGTGGCGTGCGAGACAAGAGAATCGTAGGCAGAGGACTCATACTTTTATGAAGCACGATTGAAAATAAATGTTGAAGTATAGAGGTAGAAAAATAAACCTTCCTACCCTGCCTGCGAACCATGACTGACACGTGTAATCATCGACCTCGTCATCGATCATGATAGACGTGTCAAAATGTCTATCACAGTCTGTGATGCCTTAAAGAGTGTTGAGACATATATTTCGTAGTATGTGACAGTAAGATGAATTTCTGACATGTGGACCTTATATAGTCTCTAACGGACTGCGATAGATATAGCAAGGTTTCTGCAAGGTTAAAACGGCTCCATCGTGTTTCACATTTTAATCCTACAGGGATTGCGCTGAAAGCTCTTTTAGAGAATCGTGCATAAGTATGTACAAAACATTGTACTATTATGCTGGTATTTCAGCGGATAAGTTTTCTCCTATCTTGTAAGACATGCTTGAAAAAGATGTAAAACGCAAACAAATCATAGGAGAGTAACCGCTTCACTCGCATCATCACACATGAAAGTATTTCGAATGTGAAACATCCTTCTTCAACTAGAGTCAAGTATTATTCTCCTCTCGATGGTGAAAGATAGACTGAGAAGAGGAAGTCTGCCGAGGCAAATTCCCAATATTTGATAGAAAGCTTTTTTTTGGTTTATGAAACATGTGGTCAATAATGCGAACGAAATCGAGAATAATTAGCTCAGATTCTGATTATTGAAACTAATACGACAGGCTTCGTAAAGCTAATATCCGGTAAATCGAGCTGATTCTTATTAAGTAGCCAATTCTTTAGTTCGATCGGGAAGCTTGTACCTACAGATACACAGCAAAGCATTAAGACAATGAGATCTGACAGTTATTGTCGTGGAGAATGAGCACTGGTGACCGATGAACATCCAATCATCAGTCACTCTGGAACTGAAGCACTAGGTCGATCACACCGGATTTCAGTTCCTGATATTGAAAGGCAAATACACATTTGTTGTGATGTCTATATGATTCAAGTGTTCTATGCAAATAGTATTAATCGACTTGATCAGATAAAGAGATGTTTAGCGTTAATTATTTGAGACATGATTGATAGCATCCGAACAATATTTCGATTAAATTGAGACTCATCATGCCATAGAAGTAAAAAAAAACATGTAATTGGATTAGATGTGAAGAGTGTGCAATGAGGACTATGATAGTATCGAAATTCGAATCATCGTAATGAGAGAAGACTCGTTTGAAGTTGAAATATATCAAATTACGAGCAAGAGCACAAAAAAACGAATCATATCTTGTTCATAATAGCCATTGATAGATAAATGTACAATGGCTGGACAAGGGGATGCATTGGACACAGCGTCTGCCTAGAACTCCTACCTTTTTTATGGACAACTATTTCAAAACGCTTTGGATTACACAACTGAACATTTTCCCTTGGTCTTGAGCGATGTCTAACATTGACAAATTCGTTATCTTCGCAATCAACAACTACACAACCGATATTCTTAACCTAAAGGCTTAGGAAAGTAATGTCCATTGTTCCGATCAACTCTGATCGCCTCAGGCTCGAACAACTGAACCATGTCAATAATTCTTGGTTTTCATTTCAAAAAATCTTCATTGACTAACTCAAAAGACTATCGATAAAAAACTCAATGCGCCATAATTTGCTCTTTTTTCACAAAAAACAATCTTTATTATGTTGATATCGCGCATCGAATTATTTTCGAAAGTCAAAAGATTTCGAGAAGAAATCGATTCATGTG